TGCCAGGGTTGAGCAGCAAATAAGTTGCTTGGCCTACACAAATCCATCAGTCCATCTATGAGAAAAAAACATGACAGAAGGCATGACTGTTTTTACAGTTATTTATCTTCTTGTACACAATTTTCAGTTTCAGGCAAATGACAAACTAAAATAAAAAAGATGGTTTATGAAAAATGAAAGAAGAAAAAGGCAGTGGGGCAGTGGCAGTCCACGGGTTTCTGTTCTCTCTCTTGAGACAATTTGAATCTAACTTGCCATTTAACTTAATGCCTCCCACTATTCTTAATGTACTATGAGAATATGAAATTGTGTGGAAAAGTAGTGTAAAACTAGTTTCACTTTTTATGAGACTTGGGCACATAAATTAAGCACATTGCACAACACAATGGTCATTTTTCAAGCAAATTTTAGGTAAATGAAACCATTTGTTCCCTGGTATAGTCTTTACATTATGGGGATATAGCAAAACAGATCATAAATTCCATTTATATTTTTCCTCTACACCCAATGATCCCCAAAACAAAACGTAAGCTTTCTAAATTCACTTGAAAATCAAGAACATGTTAGTGGCATAATCTTTGTACACATAGGGGTGGGGAATATAAAGCAAATGGCTCAAGGTCGTGGTGGCTAAATTTACCCCATTTTCTCCATACACCATTAAAATTTCATGCAATCTGGCCATATATAATGCATAGGAATACACCATTAATGCATTTTAACTATTTAAATTAGCTTATTTCTTTTGCCTCCCCAAACAAAAACAAAAACAAAAAACCTTATGCCATGATTTGCTTTACGAAGGACATTTTTGTCATTTGGCTGTCATTTTTCTTAAATTACCGAAGACTTGATTTACTTATTATGATGGCATTATTTTAAACAAGTAATTACTTCTGGTCAGGAGATTTTCAAGGGTTTACCAGGCTCTAGGAAAAACATAGAAATATATTTGAGGGTCCCTTTAAAGTTGGGCACACAGTGCTGGGGGTGTACATGTTTCTGAGCAAAGTAGTATTTACTCTTATCAGATTCTTTGAGACTACAGAACTCTGGACAAAGGAGAAAAGTGGAGCTAGAACAAAAATGTGAGCTACTTATGTGACAGCAAATACAATTAGTATTTCCATCTGAAAGTTTTCCATTCATGTTAAGGTCGCAAACACAAACTTATGGGCTGGGCAGTTAGTTGCCAGCACTGTAGCACCCCTATATGGTTGATTCAGAATATGCTCTGAGGCCCCAGCTTTCTCTCGCAGATATTCTTAACTTAGGAATCCAAGAAACTCCTGAAATTAGGCATGAAACTGTGGGTATGTGACTTAAGTTCTTTTCTCCAGGGAAAGGAATCTAGATTTTCCAACAATTTCTCAAAGGGATACATGAACTGAAGAGTAAAACAAGTCAAACACAAAATCCTTTGTGCTAGACAAAACTGTGCCGCTTTCTGCCGTGTTTAGTGGATCCCTTTTGCTTTGCCCAAGGCAATCAGATCAAACAAAACACCAGGCATGGTAATAATGAAGTCTCAGTCTCTTGGTCTCTTGATCTCTTGGTCTCTCAGTGTGTGTGTGTGTGTGTGTGTGTGTGTGTGTGTGTGTGTGCGCGCGCACGCGCGCGCATGCACACCCATGCTGAGAGAATGGAGAAGCAATAACAAAAGAACAGAACAGAGATTTAAGCAAGTTCTATACTGTATCACTATGATATAATTTAGTTCCTCTGATCCTCCTGAAACCCATTCAGAAACATTTATTTGACAAAGCATCTGGAGCTTCCCTATGGTTTAACTTCCTTATGCAAAATTAGCCAATGCTTCTGGTTTTTTTTTTTCAGATTTCAAATTTTCTGTAAGAACTCATTGGAAGAGAAAATATTCTGCAGCTAACGAATGGTCGAGAAAATTCCAATATATGCCTTACAGAATACTGAAAGTTCCTGAATAAACATTCATACTCTTTTGCTGTAGGGTGGTAATTAACAGAGATTTCATAAAGCTAGTTGAGCATATTTAGTGATCACAGTGCCAAATCAGATCACTGCTCAAGTGCCATACCATAGTAGATATGCAAATACTTTGGGAGCAGAGAGATGAATGAATCAGTTTTAGCCAAAAACTAGGGTCAAAAAAGTAGGAATTTCCTTAAGAAAATGTTTGACATGAAATGAAGGTTGCTAGAATTTGGCCATCAAACACATGCATGGGTGATGATCACACATTAGTTGTTTGGATGGATGTTCGTGATGACTGGGATACACAGATACTGAAGTTTCTACTGCCACGTATTTAATGCCTTTTCAATCTTAGATCACTCTTCCACACAATATATTATGATAAAAATATTATTGCTTAAAAAATGACTACTGTACCTTCTCCAACAGGAAGTGGATCTGGTCCTGTTTTTTCAAAATTAATGACTACACCACTCTGCACTTTTTGAACTAGTGATTCTAAACACTGATTCAACATTCTTTGTGTTCTTACACAGTAGGAGCGACCTATGCCAGAGAGAAAAATAAAGAGCACATTTCATCAAATCAAATGCTGCTTCATAATACAAATATTTGAAAGACTAAAATATGACTCAGAACCATCATAATAACTACATTAGCAGAAATGTGGTATGAACAATGGCCTTAAGCAGCAGAGTTCACAGATTGTAAAGGCAAGCAACCAAAGACTAGCTATGGCATTTAATAAGAACTATACACTCCTACCTAAAACTCTTCCTTCAGACACATGAAACAACAATAGTACCTCCTGTGACTTCGCACATCTGTGTGATGGCAGATTCATCAGTTGGTACACTCCCTAGTTGCTCTGGTTCGGTAGAAGCCACTCCAGGCAAACGCAACACCAGGGCAAATAACCTTTGATCCCAACGAAAAGGTTCTTTGGTTAGTTCACTTCCAGGCAGAGGAGAATTCAAAGGAAGATGAAGCTGATGAGACAAAATTTGAAAAGGTTCATCATAACAACTCATATAAAAAAGGAGAAAGAGTTAAAGGGTTCGCTTCACTTTCATGGAACTCAGAAGAATTAAGCCATCTCTTAAGGATTCCCAAGATCGGTTTGTGCAAGCTTTATTCTTAACTAGAAATACATGCCTCCCACAGAAATAGTTACATGTTCTCTGCTATTTAAATGAAATGAAAAAAATATATCTCACCTCTTCTTGAACGCTAGCAGTACTTGTTAACTTGTTTCCATCTGTGATGGTAATTAAAATAGACGGCTCTAAAAAAAACGGATTTCTCCCCTAAAATATATTTCAAAAGCATTAGAGCTGAGTAAAGCAACATAATTGTACTTAAACTTCTACATTTGCCTTGCCAGTGATCCCTCAAACATGATAAAGTTTTCCTTGATAAATAAGAAATAAAAGTCTCACCCTTACTCATGAACCCATTCACCCGAGTTAAAATCCTGGCACAGATTAGGGCATATGCTCTGCAGCCTGGACAGCGTGTCTGGGGATACGGAGCAGAACGTTTAGGATAGAAAAGGACAATGGTGGCAGCAGCAAGTGCTTCTCTGACCTCCTCTTTTGTCTAGAGCTTTTAAAGTCTTTTCTTAGAATGGGTGGGGGAGAAGTAGGGACACAGAAGATTTCTCTCCAACTGTCTTCTTCTAATATTTTACAGTACCTTACTTGTCACATTCTCAAATCCCTGACGATCAAGTGACAAGAAATTGTATTTACTGTATCCATTGATGAATTGATGTTTAAGAACCAAAATAGTTGACTGGGCTGTGGTGGCACACACCTTTAGGCCCAGCACTCAGGAGGAAGAGGCAGGCGGATAGCTGAGTTAAAGGCCAACCTGGCCTATACAGTGAGTTCCAGGACAGTGGTTCATGCATCTAAAAACTGCATGAACCTCTTTTTGGTTGATATTTCAGGTAGCACAAGTCTTGCCTAATTTTGCACTCTTTCACCAAATCATCAAAAACAAATTAGCTGTACTCACTCAAAAATTGTTACCTGTCCATAATTGTCTATTCCAGATATTAATCTATTGAGATTTAACAAATCAAACGAGGATCTTAGAGCCTGACCAAGAGTAGTCAGTCCAGAAGCCTGGAGATTTTTCAGTTCGCTCATGAATGTGGCGTGATTTTCCTTCCAACCAGCCTGAAAACCAAACATTGACAAAGAAATTCTCAATTATACAAAGAATAAGATAGAACGCAAATAAGCACTCAATAACACAGTAACAAGCCTCTGATAAATTAATCCCTCTTTAAACTAATTCCATTCTATATCTTGACTGTTCAAGTGGAACCAAAGCAAGTAGTCATTTTCAAAAAAATTCTACTAGCTTTAATGATCAATGGTTTGCTTGAGTTTGAAAGAACTCAAGCAAACAATACATTCATTCATTATAGCAGGCAGGAGGGCTTTATTTCAAGAAGGTAATCTATATTCAGGCTCAACCAAACCAGTCCATACACACCAGCTCCCTCATCTTCACAGTGGCAACAAGCAGATGAGCATAGAGTAAGGTGTGAGTAAAACGCAACTATTTTATAGATACAAAACTTTGATAGAGGGGGGAAAGGCTATTGAGTGGATGAGCTACATGAATTTTAATAACTAATATTTTTCTTGGGGAATGGTTTCCCCTTTAAAAGACAATACAGAGTTTGACACATAGAGAGGCTGGAGAGAGAGCTCAGTGGTTAAGAGCACCTGCTGCTCTTGCAGAGGACCTGGTTTAGTTCTCAGCACATACACTGAGTGGCTCACAACTGTCTGTAACTCAAGTTCCTAGAGACCAACATCCTCTTCTGGTTTCTGGAGGCACCTGCACACTTGTGTAGCACATATACAGACAAGCAGGCACACATAAATGCACATAGGTAATAATAAACAAACAAACAAACAGAGTCATATTTATTTGGAGACAATCCTGTTGGCACTATTAAAAATTCAGAAAGGTGCAAATATAGAATAAGAAGAAAAAGAAGGGCTGGAGGAATGGCTCAGAGGTTAAAAGCACTGGCTGCTCTTCCAGAGGCCCTGAGGTCAATTCCCAGCAACCACATGGTGGGTTACAACCATCTATAATGAGATCTGGTGCCCTCTTCTGGCCTGTAGGCAGAACACTGTATACATGATAAATAAGTAAATCTTTAAAAAACAAGAAGAAAAAGAAAAGGTTTTGCAGCGAAGTAACAGCTTCTAGGCACCCCAAGAAGCTATAAATAGCAGCAAACAGCCAAAGACTCAAGGTCAACAGCCAACTGTTGCCGGGATTAATTAGTCTGCAGAATTGGAGGAAGGAAAAGATTGTACTGCCTGGTCAGTGGTGACTATAAAAACAAAGCAACCGTGAGATACAGGAAGATGATGGCAGCTTTTAGTAAGTCACAGAGGAGTGTCAGCAAAGGTGAATGCAGATGGCACAGCTTGGCAACATGGAAGACTGAATGTCAGTCCCTTGAGCCTAGAAGATGCTTAAGATATGGAGGATAAGCTGAACCTTGAAGGTACACCAACCAGAGCAGTACAGTTGGAGGCAGAAAGAGCAATACAGAGACAAACTCAGTAATTTATATTTAATATTTGCCTAAAGTCATAATGCCCATTATCAATACAACCACAGCAAACACTGTTCTAGTCTCATCATTTCTCAAACACAACAAGGCACAGAGGATAAAAGAACAAATGACCACATTGTGAAGGAACAAAGGACATTGGGACAAGCCTGAAAATGACATCTTATTGATGTAAGAAGTAGAAAGGACCATCAAAAGAAGAGAGGAATTCCTAAAAGGATGAGTCTTACTGGAGAAGCACTAATAATATTATTATTGCTCTGGCTACATGGCAGAAGTCAAGGCTAATGGGATAATTTGGGCTCTGACTATTAAATGCTTTGTACAGCACACTCAGTAGTTTGGATTGTATCTGCAGGCCTGGGAAGAACCCAGTGTTCTTTTTAACTAGGGGAGTGGTGTGATCAGATCTGCATTTTAGCAAGCTCATTCTGCTAGGAGCTGGAGACTAAATTTAGGGGTGGAGGGAAGACTGAAGCTTGAGGCAGGGAAACTGGTTTGGAGACTGTTGCAGTAGTTAAGAGAAAAGTGATGAAAGCGTGAGCTAGGACAGCAAGGATAAGAGGTGATTGCAGACTAATGAAGTACTTCAAGAGGTGGAGTTGTACAGACTCAGCACCTAATTTAGTGGGATGGATGAGGGAGAAGGGGTCATGCGTTAGGTTTAGGTTTGTAGCTTGGGAAAGCTTGGGAAAACTTATGAATTCTTATGGAATCCTCATTTCATTCAGCAATATTAGTTCCACATTATAAACTTACGTTTATATCTGTATTAAGTGTTGAACTCCTAAAAGGCCACAGGACAAGTCAGGCTATGACTAAAGAGAAATGGGTGTACTGCTTGGAAATCACTTTCAAACTCATCAATATTGTCAAATGTGGTGGGACGTGCTTTTTAAGTCCAGCACTCATATGGTGGAGACAGTCCAGCCAGACTACAAATAAAACTGAAGGCCAGCCTGGACTCTATCTCAAAAGGAGGGAGCAAGATGGTTCAGAGTGAAAGTATTTGCCATCAATTCTCACAGCTTGAGCTCAATCCCCAGGACTCATAACAGTAGAAAGAAAACTGACTCCCGTAAATTGTGCTCTTACCTGCATGTGTGCCAGCACACACACACACACACACACACACACACACACACACACAAAAAAAAAAAAAAATAATAATAATAATAATAACATGCATGAGGGGGAAAGGCTCTTCTGCTGGTGAAGGCAAACCTGATGATCTCAGTTTGATCTCTAAGACCCCCATGGTGGGAGGAGAGAAGAATCTCCTGAAAGTTATCCTTTGACCTCCACACATACTCTGTGGCATGTTCCCATCCACCACATGCACACAATAAATAAATGACTGTTAATAATTTTAATGGGCAGCTAGGCATGGAAGTGCACGGCTGTAATCCAGCACTCAGAAAACTGAGGCAGGGACCAAGGCTTAACGCCAGCTTAATCTACAAACTGAGATCCTGTCTTAAAAACAGTCAAACAAAAAACAAACTAGGAAAACAAGCCAACAGGGATGTAGCACAATGGTACTATTTCCCTAGCATGCACAAGGAACTGGGCTTGATCACCAGAAGGGGCCCTCACTTAACTTAAGTGAGCAGTTGACAGAAGGGGCCAACTCATTGGCATTTAAAAGAACGCATGCATCCTGTTTTTTACTAGTCTTACTCATCAATTCATCAGAATACTTACTCCTTAAAATTGTGTTTCATAGCATAGCTTGAAAGCATTTTACAAACGGTTTCAATGCCTAAATATATAGCATCTGTTTTAGGTCAGTTCTTCGCCTTTATATTGAATTGAATGGCATGAAAAAATTCTAATGTCATGACATACTTGAGGGCTACAAAGTGTTGAAAGCAATGGGTTTCTTGACAGCTGCCTGGATCCTATTTCAAGAAAGAAAGTAAATGGCCCTCTATCCACTTTCCAGAAGTAGGAGGGACTAGAAGATAATTTAAAAATTTAGAAAACCTTATTAATGTAACTAGTTTCTTCTTAAAAAGCCATTATAAAGAAATAACAGGAGAAAGTGCATGCTAATTCTCCATTCATTGCTTGAGGTTATATTTTTCACAGTTCAACTCAGGACAGCTAATGTGCCTTTTTCTTTTCAAAGCACAGATATTCCAACCCTAGTCTCTTGTATACTAAGTACACACTCTACCACTGAGCTACGGGCCCAGCCCCTAATGTGGAGGAGTTTCTTTTATTTGGACTTGGAACTGAATCAATGGCATCATGCATGCTAGGCAAGCACTATACCATCGAGCTACATCCTAAACCAGGACTTTCTTTCAAATTACTTCTAAGACATTCTACCCACATATAAACACACATATATGCAATTAAATAATAAAGTATTTTAAAATGGATTAGCAAAAGTAGTGACACATAGTCTAATATAATCCAGGTAAACTCCTGTTCTTTCTGTCTCAGCCTCCCAAGTGTTAGGACTCTTAAATGTATGTGCCACCACAAAGGGTATTTTTTTAAATGTGGCTACTTGAATATTTTAGATTGTATACGGCAGGCATTGTATTATTTCTTTTGGTCATTGATGATCTGCTAGGGACACAGAGGTCAGACATGAGGGCTGGCCTTTGAGGAAACAGACAATGGAGTCATTACAGATTTCAGGGCCAGGGGAAACAAGGTAAAACAATGCCTCTGAAAGACCTGTTTGGATGTGTGGTAGCAACAACCAAAACAGAGCAGAGGAAGGAAAAATGGAAGTCAGAAAAAGAAAGAAACTATATAGTAATCCAGGCTTGGCATAATCAGGCCCAGAATCAGCACAGGACAAAGGCAGATTAAACTGAAAACCATTGGAAATGCACAAGCTATGCCTCAGTAACATGTCTACAAGGGGAAGGGAAGATGACAACGACATTCCTATCCTGGGGGATCTAGAGAAGGAGGGTTAGGGCAAAGAAGTAACCTGGGAGGAGTAAAATCCAAAATTAAGCATTCCTTGTCTTCACAGGTCAAGTTTTAAAGGTGTCTCAAAGATGATCATCGTGAATAATGGCAGATAATATTTACCAGTGTTGATACATTAGGAAGTCACATATGCAAAGTGTAGAACATGATATACACCATTCTTATTTCAGTCTCAGAAGCACACAGAAAGGAGGTACTATTATTAAATTATATCCATTATATATTAATGAACTGAGGTTCATTAAGGCGAAGGCAGGATTTACAGCAAACCTCACATCATCTCCCTCCCATTTAACACTACACTACATACTCCTCCACATATTCTGTGAGTGACCTCATAGACATGCTGTTAGATTAACTTCTAACATCAAGGTTAGGAGAGTTTTCAAATCTCATTTTACTCTCTATTTCCCCTGATGCCTAAGTAAAGAACACTTGGGGTGGAGGCAGTAAATTCAAGATTAGATGACCCTGGTCTAGACCTGGCTGTCACTGACTAGAATAAGTGACTGGGGCACTGTTTCTTCATCCAAGAAATGAAAGGGCTATAAAACCAACACTAATCCAGGCATGATAGTACATGCCTTTAACCCCAGCACCCAAGAGGGAAAGACAGGC